CATCCTCTGCGATTTCACTCACAACATGGATCAGTGACAGATTACGGGCTGATGGATACCCTAGGATGGATCCGTACCTATGTCCCTTCACAACATAGAATGTCAAAGTGTCAAACTGTTTGTTCGTTTCTACACCAAGATCACACTTTCCCAGGACTGATAACGGTTTACCACCACCGTACGGTATCAGCCTGTTACTAGCACGGGTGATAGGCGGCCTACCCATACACTCGTATGCTGTTTCGTCAAGTATATTGACTGAGGAACCGCTGTCTAACAATACTCTCAGTGGTCTGTTGTTCACTTTTAGAGTGAAGTTGGGAGCCTCGTTTACAAATCTCACCTGTTCGGAATTTGTCAAAGTCTCCTTTATTCCATAACAGTAACGGTCATCGTCGTCCGTCTCGCCATCTTGGTATCGGGCATCATAACTAACCGATTGACCATGGCCAGTGTCCTGTTGAACAGCTTTCACATTTCGATTCTGGCCCTTGTGAGTAGGCTTGTTGACACGGGATCGACACATTTTCATATAGTGGTTACTTTTACCACATGAATGACAAGTCTGGCCTTTAGCGGGACAGTCTCCATGGTGAGGGTATGATCCTCCACATTTCATACACTTTTTATCGGACTCACCTTGTTTGGGTGTACCACGCTTGAAGTTGGACGATCTGTGTTGTTTTCTTTTAAACGGTTTGTGTTCGGACTGTGCACGACCAACCGCGTTAACACTCGCACTTTGGTCCCGTTCCATTGCTGTAGCTTGGACATCGGATAACTCTAGTGTTCTACCGAGTGTTAGAATTCCATTTAAGTCTTTGTCAGGCTCGCGGAGTGCCCTTCTCCGGAGTCTGTTGGACTTACAGTGCTGGATGACCTGTGACAGAATCTCCTTATTCGTGTCTGCAAATCCACAATCCTTCGCTAGTCGTCGTAATTCGGTGACATACTCGTCAAGAGTTTGCGATTCTGACTGTTTATAGCTTCTGAAGGTGTATAATTCCATTTGTTGATTTTTCTTGGGTTTGAAGTATGTCGTGAGCACCTGTTTGGTGGCTCCATATGACGGCTCGGTTTCTCCTTTTTCTGCCTCATATATGTCATACACACGTTCACCTGCATAGTGAAGCAGGAGTGCTCTTTTTCTATCATTTTCATCCTCGTCCGTAATGTCCAGGGCCACGAGCAGATTCTCTAAACGCCCTATCCACCGATCCCATCTTGGGCCAGCGTTACTTTTGTCGCTTTCGGTATCGAACGAAGGAAATATTGGTAGGGATGTCATTCTGATCCCATCCTCGTCGCCAAAATGTAGTGTTTATGTGTTGATGGCATGCCTAATGCCATCATTAACTACGGCTTAACATTCAGACTCAACAAACACCATCTTGTTCCATGTGCCTGGTTTTTAATAATACTTCCGGTTGGTCCATATTACAGAATAGCAATCAAGTGGGTAATATTACGGAATGGTACAAAGTAGCGGACTGGATATTACACTCCGGTGCCACATTTTTCACATTGATTAAAGGACACACATCGGACTATAGTTATCGTACGTGTAGGCCCTGATATCACACATCAATATTTCATACCCGGAACATGTTCTCCATCAAAACTGACTGAAAGACTATGTCTACACGCCTCTGTAGGAAACAATCTCAAGGTTAAGATACCGTTTTGCTGGTCCAAAATATCACAGCGAGCTGGCTGTAACACTCCGCTCATTTCTGCTGCCACCTCACCTGTGATAGAAATATAAAACAAATTGGAAATTGATTTATTCTTTTATATGATTTATTGAGAGGAGATCAAAATGTTTTTTGTCGCAATAGTGACAAAAGATCAAAATGGATAGGAGCTGAGTGGGTGGATAACTAATATAGAATTAAATGCTGTGTGATTAAATTATTTACTCATCAGGAAGATTTGGGGGTTATGCATCCTTATCGTCTTCCATTACACTGGGGTTATCATAGTTCTTGCTATGTGACTCGGGTAATACTGGATTACCTCGGGGCGCAACGCAAACATTAGTTATAACTGTAAAAGTGGAAACTTTCGCGTGTGGAAACATTTGCATTGTGACGCTTTGACGCTGATTGCGATTCGGAAATGTTCATGTTGACACTGGCTCTGAGTATATATAAATTATTGCATATATATAATCATTATATATTGTGAATGAATATTTTCGGGCTAATTTACTCATTGCAAAAAACGCAAATATTACCACAAAGCAATAATTTCCCGTTTAACAGTGCTATGCCATTACTGAGTATCTCAACTACGCTTATGAGAAAAAAGATAGATAAATCCATGTATAGCCTCTTATGACTTGCCTGCGAAGCAATGTAAATGTTAGCCAAGCCCTGTATCGAAAGAGGAAACTTGGCATATATATCTTTAACAGTGATAGCGACAACGTATGTGGGCCGTTGGCAGTCGGTGTATAAGGAAACATGGTTGGGGATTCAATCGCTGGTCAGAAGCAGCATAAAATACCGGGTTACTGAGAATATTCTTAAATTGGACGATTGAGAAACTCGATGATTATCCACAGGAGAATGAAATAAATAATTTGGTAGTAGGGTAGAGGCAAAATAAACATGGATAAAGGTAAAACAATATATCTGGTAGGTCGGTATGGTGAAAGTGGAAGAGTGGTTAAGTAAATGTTTGTAAAGTCTATAGGTAAAGCTTAGAGGGACAAAGAGACAAGGAAGTAGAAAGAATGTAGAAGAGAAATTTACACGGATAGATCAATATTTTTAGGAAATCATGATTAAGCAAATGTTTTTCATTACAACTGACATGATCCGCCTCAAGTAATTATACAATGAAACACGCTAGGTCAATTCCTTGAATAAATTCCTATTGAAATAATGTGAATCCCATTTGATGCTAGAGAAATAAAACATGTTAAACGTTCTTACAACATGGATATTCGTTTATTGCGTTACCTCCCCCTAACTTCCGTTTGGATATTCCCATAGCACAGTTGGTTAAGGACACTTCCGTTGACCAGTTTGCCCGGTCGGTTTGAGAAACATTATTACAATATGTAGTACAGGGTCCTAATCCTGGTCTAATCCTTAAACCCCACTGAATTACTTACATCCAGAACACTGTTATTGATTATATTTCGTTTATTTCGTTTAAGTCCCACAATATATGGGATTTCTTTTCAAAGATCAGAAATGACTTATCAAAGCTATAGTCAAGCATTGTTACAGTTTTAGGCAGTGGTACGGGGATCGTTACGAAAATTATTTTTTGTAACTTTACCGTATCCTGCAAAGGTCGTGTTCACAATTACGCGGAGCTCCTGACCCACGAATCCGCCCTTGAGTCCGCGACCTATGACCTTCACCTTTCCCCCAGCTTCTCTATGGGACACAGATAACTTGTACGGTACGTTGATCAGTTTCGTTCCTGACCAGTAGATGTAGAGAAGGTAAGCCCCAGGGGAGGGGGCGGTGTAGTGACAGCGGTACCGGTCATACTTCAGGGCCGACATTTCAACCGTTGGGTTGGACCTTACGCCCTGCATCTCCACCTTTGGCACACCTGTATTTGTATGTTAAGTTGACACTTCAATGCATGATAATTAACTTATCTAAATGTTTGTCGTACTTAACGGGGGGAGACCCAAGGATGGTCCGGTATATAGGGATGTGAACCCACTACTATGAAAGGGACTTTAGTTACTTTGATTGCGCAGTTGCTTTCCATCATCGGTTACAGAGCTCTGTTGTACATGTGCTGGCTGCGATATTGGCTCGAGGCCTATTGCAGATATGCCTGGACTCGCAAGCTAGTATAACCGGGGGTCACACAAACTCTAAGTTGTAGGCTGATGCGAGCAAAGAGTAGCGGTATACCCCTGACAAATCACTATGTAATTCAAATAGAAATGTAAACTTCTTTATGCCAAATTTCCTAAAGCTGTATGTGTCAAAGTTATTTGTGCTCTAATCATCATATCAGTTTTTGCATCAGCTGAACAAAGATGAGTTTAATTTGCAAGAAGCGTAATGACTCAGATATACAGTATGATTCATATCGCAATTACTTCCAGTTAACTCTCCGTATTTGTAGGCTATTGGTATGAATCACGAATTCGTTATGTTTTGACAGATCTTTTGCAGCTTATGCGGTATCTTATTTAGTAACCCGAAACATTCCGTGAAAGTTCAAATGTAATTGAAAAAAACCTATATTATTCCCATTCTGTATAAATTCTCAGGAACTTGACGATCTATTTTCTTACCTACTGTATAATTCAGACAGTCTAATTCCTTTTCCAGAAACTGTCTCATTTTTATTAGTACATTATTCACTTTCTGCATTCTGAACAAGTTTTTTTTTTAATTAAATGCTTAACAACCTTCAAATTTGTGCCCCAATTCTCACTAAAAGTAATACCAGTTCACTCATTTAGACGGAACACATATGCATCTTGCTTGTAATGTGTTGCTGTATTACAGTGTAGTATAATTCATTATTTAATAGACATACCGGGGCCAGCAAGTTTCCCGTCGATCATGAATGCCATCCGAACTCCCGCACGACCTTCTGTGATTCCTTTCCCTGTTACCTTGACCTTAGTGTGGTCGATTGGGAGTATGGGTCCCGGACAGTAGGAGAGAATTGGGGAAGAGTCCAAAGGGACGTTTGACCAGTAGAGGTGTATGTAATGATCAACTGAAAGCAAGACGTCATCAACATATATATCTGTATAATTAAACTGTTTTAGTTAAATGCTGACAGGAAAACAAGAGAATATAGAAATGCAAACGAAACAGTAATTCGAAATCATTTGTTTGTAATATCAGGCATTTATTAACGTATAGGAATATTTAATAAGTAAAGCATGCGTAAAATATCTCCTTTAAAACGCTATCAAACCTCACATATGCAGGTTGCCTGATTGACAAATGTACATGTTAATAAACATGTATCCAGACTTACCTTCCTCTATGGCTTTGAAGCTGACAGCAACTTCGTCTTCATCAGGTTGGTCTAGCTTCACGGGAAGCTTGCCACTAGGGGCCAGCACCTCCGCATTAAAGGATCCTGGATATTATAAAGGGGGAGAAAATTGTAAACATTCCGGGAAGAAGCCAAACGTTTTCTCGGACTTAAAGTCTTAGGAATGAAATATAATGCAAATTCATGTAGAAGCAGACATCTTAATTTGCATGTACCGTTATATCCTACATATATTCTGCAGTATATACAGTCTTAAACGTGAAACTGCTCCATGTTTGCTATGTGATGAAGCAAGCAATTTGACGAGATGTTTTTGAAAAGCCATCAAAAGGGAGAGATATGCGATATTGTTTCAATTATAAACAAAAGCACAACACAGTTATTGAAGTCTAATCATCAAAAGTATGCATGACATATAGGCGCATATAACTGTAACTGTATTATATTTTTGTAGAGTACTCTAGTGGAAATGAATTATTGAGTTTTATTTTGATAAGCAGATACCCGAAGGCAATATAACGTAGTGGGCAGTACACAAGAATTTACAGTGGATTTGCTATTCGAACAACCATTACAGGTAGTGCATAGGCACTTGTTAACATGTATAGTGCAACGAAGTCAGAAAAAGATTATCGAAACTGATTAGCTCCAGCGGAATATATATTATTACATCCGTCTTTACTTGAGTAAGTTAGGACACGTATTACACGGCAAGACATACAAGGGTGCCAAACAAAAGAAAAGAGAAAAATGAACAGAAAATACAGAAACGCAGTTTTGACGTCAGAACTTTTCGTAACGAGGTAGGGTGCCTCAAGTACAGCCTTTCAGTACAGCAAGACAGTATTATTCAAGTCCATAACGTGTTCTCATATTGCAGATGGTCTCTTAATACATGTTCATTTAATTTGAAAATAACTGCAATGTGGAGTTTTACATAGACAGACTGATAGTTTTAAATCATGTACTAGACTGATACGGTTATTTTCTTAAGGTCTCTGTTGAAATTCCTACAATGCTGTGTTTGTGCTTATGTTTTACATACCTGGGCCTGCTTCGCTGATGTCGAAGTGGAGGGTGGTGTCAGTCCCACACACCAAAGCTAAATAGTCATTCTCATCCTTATCCCCACTCAGATCGTCCTTCAACCTCACCTTTGACCTGTCTGTAATATTTGCATTGAAAGGGCTTCCTGTAACAGCGACAGGTGATATATTTCATTTAATTGGGTGATGTATCTATTTTAACACCAGAGCGGAACGTATTTTGCAACTTACCCCTGTGTTTTCCATAGATTATTTCATCTTAAGCAATAAGTACTAAATCGACCGACTAAAACTATTCTGATTCTAGACATTGGATATTGCTTGTTTTCCTGGGCGACCCATGTCGTTACACAAAACTATGACCGTAAAGACACTCGTCTAAAGACAATAACCATCGACACACATAGTGTTACTGTTACAGTAAATACCCCAGTCTGTAGACACTTACCAGGAACGCATACATCATTCCACAGAACTGTAATGGCATAGACCCCTGTCTGTGCCAGTGTATATGAGAATTGGTATGCCGTGGGTCCTACTTCCTCCCATCTCGTATCTACCTTTGCATCTCCCACTGAAAGTTTAAAATAAATACAACAGCCAGTCAATTTAAGCCATTATGATTTTTTTTCAATTTTTTTTTTTTTTATTATTATTATTAAAAAAAGAAGTAGGGAAAGAAGACATCGACTTAGAAGGAGAAAATGGTACGATTAACATTTGAGAAGGCCAGGAAGAAGTGTATTTACCCTGGATGTTGACTGCTATGTTCCCTCCGAGATCGCCAGCGTTCACGGTAAATCTGGACTCCTTCCCACACAGGCCTCGAGAGATTCCTTCACCAGTCACTGTTATCTGACCAGGGTCCACCACATCCACCAATTTCGGACATCCTGTAAAATTGTTGTTACTTCCACAATTACACGCATTTAATCTAAGGCTCATTTCAACGTTATGGTAGATGCAAATACCTTAAATCTTTTTTCAAGAGTTATGACCAAATTGATTGGTTTTATAAGAAAACGAATGCTAGTCTGTCCTAGATATGGTTTATATTCTCTTCATAGACACAACCAATACCACCTGATATGTCATTGTTAACGGAACCAGACGTGCTGTTGATAGCTTCTTGGTGAAAGTTGTTTAGATTGTATGGGTGAATTTGTGTCGTTAAATATTTCAGAAATATGTTATACTTAATAGGAATTTTAAACGAAAAATGAATACTTCAAAAGTATACGAACAAACGAGAGAACAATCTCTTTATTTCAAACTGCAGATAAAGCAAGCCGTCATGACAGGGCGCAATGGCCTTATTCTTTATAGAGATGAAGGGCTCAAGAACTTTCGCAAATCTACGATCCGATATTAAGATAAACCTATCAGAACCGTCTTATTGATTTGGTCGTTATTTGGTTCTTTAATTACACCCAAAGCTTACATGTGCTTATAACGAAACCAAATGGATTGATCATTTTTATTGGAACTCGTCAAATCATACCACTGGTCAATTTTTTCATTGTTTCACACACAGCTTAACCGAAATGTTGATATACATATAACATAATCATTGCGGCCAGTTCCATTCCAATCCTTCAAAAATTACTAGCCTGATTCTCCTGTGAAATGTGTTTTGCTATTTCCACATTGCCAGTAAAACCCCGGAGCCTCACTCGTTTCCCAAGCACTAGTGGCCCCTCGAGCTTATCTACCAGCTCCCGCTTAATCAGCGTCATAGTGGCTGCTGTATCCACGACAGCTTGAATAGGAGTTCCATTCAAAGTGAGTGGTATGGTGATACTACTGCCATCTGAGACCGCCAGCTTCACCTCCCTCAAAGGTTAGACCTCCTTTCTAGGCGTGGGTGATGGAGACCTTGATCTCTCTGCCTGGTTATTCCGTCCTTTGTCGTTACCCCAACTGGCGGGACCGTTGCTCCCTCTATATGGTTCCGGGGACGCAGATGAAGATCTTGGACGGTACGCCTGGGTATTTCGTCCTCGGTCGTTACCTCAACTGGCGGGGCTGTTGTTGACCTCGGCCTTGTGACCCTGTGCCAGGTGAGTCCCCCTGATATCTGGGTGACCAATTACGGTTTCGCGAAGGACCTTGTTCAGCGTATGGTGACCTGTCGCGGGGTCTACCGTCGTACCTATTACGCCCGTTGTCCTGGGGTGGACGAGGGTACTGGGGCCTATCGCGATAATCTGATGAGGGATAAGGGACCGGTGTCCTATCACGATAATCCGGTGATCTGTTTCCCCCATAGTTTTGAGGGAAACCTCGGTCGCGTTACGGAGATCGGTATTCACCCCGAGGTGGAGGAGAAGACGGACGGGCAGATACGCCGCCCGCACTAAGCCGGGCCAGGTATTTCTTTAGCTCTTGTAGCTCATCTTTTGATAACTGTACAGGGGCTTCTTCTACTTTATCATCCCCCGACGTAGTGCCCTCCGCAAACTCTACCTGCCTACTAGGGTAGTGCGGCGCGCGAGAACCAAACAAAGCACGCTGATTGGCCACGGAGGCTTTTATGTATTTCAGAGCTTTGTGAACCGTCTTGGGATTCTTCTCCATGGCTCTCTGCGCTGCCATCTTCTCGCGACAGCCTTTGAGGAATGCCTCCGTAGCGATCTGGTTCCTTGTGGTGGGGTCTGCGTGGGCAAAGCCATCCCCAGTAATGGTTTGAATCCGCTGAGCAAATTCCGCCAAACTCTCACGCTCCTCTTGTCTAGTGAAGTTTAGCTATCTGCGGGCCACCACTGGGACGTCCTTGTCGCTAAACCGTTCCTTCATCAGTTTTGCGAACCCAAGAGTTCGTGGGAGTTTATCTGCGTAATCCAACGCATCACCCACCAGACAATCGAAAACCCGTTGTTTGGTCTTACGGTCCGACCATCTACTGTCCTTTATTATCCTGGTGAATTTAAGAGCGAATGGTTCCCAGCGCTCTTTACCCGAGTAAGTGGGCATCTTATGTCGCTGAGGACTCCTACTCCTTTGACGATGACTCTGGTAGTCGTCGGAGGAGTCCCCTGAATCTGTATTGCTGTCCCCCTCTCCCTCACTGGAGAAATCGGGGTCAGATTCGTCGCTCTCTGACGAATCATCACGTCTGCGCCTTGTAGGCGCACGGCGCGTGCCTTGTGGTTGGTGCACATGTCGCTCACCGAGGACGCGATGCGTGCGCCTTGCAGGACGTTCGTTGTCCAACCTGTCGCGGGTCCGTCTATTTCTATTCTCCTCGCGGGTAGCATGCGCCGATGTGGTTACGCCACAATTTGTGCTGGTTATGGGCACCCTCGCGTAACCACCGGCAACGGCCGAAGGCAGACCATGAGCAGGAATAGTATGTTGTTCTATCTTAACCTGATTTTGCCCTAACTGAGTGTCTATGTGTCCCAACAGGGGATAGTTACTTATCCCGCCATTGGTGTATGGCAGCCTATTACCTGGGGGTATGTTACCCCCCCTATGTTGAAAAGCTGGCTGTGAAGGGTCATATCCCCCAGGATAATTCCCCCCTCCCTGCTTGCGAGGCGTCAAACTAGGCTTGACATCTTCCAACAGGAAGTCAGCCCCCTTTTCATTGTCCGATGATAGGCATGACAAGGGCAGACT